TACAAATATGTAACTGACCTCAACTTTATTTTTCAAACTTCTCAAGTGTCTTAATGATATTTAGAAAATGAAAGTATAAGTTTTACTCAGTGGGAGACCACATGGACTTAAACATAGTTTGCTGGTAAAGGATTGAAGTCATCTTTGCAAAATTACGACAATGAGAGAAATCTAAGTTAACTGACTCCATCTTGCTTCTAACCTCACAAGCTAACTGTCTTTGCTTATTTCTGTATGTAGACCAAGCTAACTACAGGAGGAATTCAGTTTATACATTTTTTCTTTAACCTAAAAAAAAGAGTAGAATAATAATAGTCCCTTCCTGAAACTAACCTTCCCTCCTTGTTCAGGGATAGAAACTGCCTTTGTAACATTAATGAAAGACAAGGTTAGAATTATGGTAGTGGACTGAATTCTGCTAAGACTTAGGCATAGCTAAACAATAACTTGTCATTGCTTTCTAAATTGCTTTTTTGGGATTGCTTACTACTCAGGAGCCATGTAGCTAGTGGCCCCAAGATTTGTAACTTCCCCAATTGCCCCTGTAGACAACATCACTACTGTGAAAGTTAAGATTGATGTTTGAAATATTTTTCAGAACTTGCATTCTGATGGACCAACTGATGCCACCTGGGCTGGTGACCCATACCAGCAAACCCACCCAGCTGGTTCTATGACCCCGACCTAGGAGCTGACTCAGTACATGAAAACAGTTTCAACACTCCTATAATTTCATTTTAACCCAAACAATCAACATTGCCCATCCTCTAGTTCCCTGCCAAACCATTCTTAAAAACCTCTAGCCTCCAAATTTTCAGAGAGGTGGATTTGAGAAATATCTCCTGGTCTGCTCACTTAGCTACCCTGAAATTATTAAACTATTTCTCTGCTGCAATACCTGCTGTCTCAGTTCATTGACTTTTATTGTGCAGTAGACAGGAAGAACCTATTTGGCTGTGACAGGATCTTTATATTTCATACATAACTTTATGAGCATTAATTATTAACAAAAGAATAAAAAACTTGTGAGAGATTTTTGTTACCATATTACCTGAGGGAAGTTTAGCTGAAATGTGATACTTTTTAAAGAACAGTGTAAGAAAAAAAAAAAGTTGCCCCTGAAGATTATGATGTTTTCTGTATTTTGTTTAGAATTTATCTGGTGAGCTGAATTTATATTTGCAGTTTTTATAGACTCCCAATAAATGCCAAGTAGACCCTAGTACTCAAAGATTATAGAAAAATAGTTAGTATTGAATAACTAGTGTAATTTTAACACACATTGAATATATGTATTTAAGTGTTTAAACAAAAATGTTGACTCGTATTAAATATTATAGATGAACTTGACTAAAATTCAATTTCACTGTGATAGCAAGAACATTTCAATTTTTCTTTTTTTCTCCTCTCATTTATGTTGTTTTTTCTTTGATTAAACTGTCAGCTATGTACCACAATTGTAACACAAAGAAAAATAATCTGGTCTACAAAAATATCTAAATATTGAAGACTATGCCAGAATTTGGCAGAAAATTTATATAATTGTTTGTGGTATAATAGTTGCAATATTAAATCTGCAATGAATTGCAAAAAGCAAATAAGCATAATAATAAATTTTTAATCTAAAATTATTTTTTCTGGGTTTCTTGTTGGATTAAATGCATCAGAGTCTATTCCGAAGTCAAATGTATCTAATGTATTTTACACAGAACAGTGAACTATTCATTGATAATAAAAAGGAAATAGAAAAATCTTACTCCCTATAAGCAAATTTATCTATCTGGATTACTTCATGTATAGGAAATAAGGCAATTAAGCCCTCAAGAAAATAAAATGTTTTGCTGACTAAGGTTAAAAACTTCCTCTGAAAATACGTTTCTCTCATTTTGGCCCTTTATTTAGAATAATAATTCTCAAAAGCATTTGAGAATGTGGCCCTTTATTTAGAAAAGTAATTCTAAAGTCCCTGTTAGCAAGGCATATTCTCAAGCTCTACCCTGAACTTCCTGCATCATAGTTTTGGGATAGGGCCCAGCAATCAGCATTTTACAATCCCTCCAGGGGACTCTCATTCTTGCTAAAGTTTAAGGATCCCTGCAGTAGAATACGTTTTGGTCTATTTTTTATCATCATGGGAGAGGAATCTGCCAGTAAATAGAGAGTCAAGGTATTTAATGGAAATTAGTAAATAAATTGTCTCTCAAAGAGTCCACTATTAGTATATTACCTGTAGGGAATATAGACTCACAGGAGGACAAATATAGCAAGTCATTCTTAGAGCCTTCACCACACTATCATCCTGAAATGTACGTGAACTCAGTACATGAGGGAGAAAACAACACAAGAGCAGATGTCTTCTTTTTAAAGGCTTGTATGTATTGTATTTATTCAGTAGATATTATTGTTCTAGATGTATTACAAAAACATGTTTAAATTGCCTTATTATTTATTTATGTTGGTATCATTTTACCTAACCATCAGATTTATACATGGGAAGATGATTTGTCAAATCCATTTTGTTTTTATGAAATTAAAAGTCTTCATTTCATATAATTCACACTTTCTTGAAATAGAACACGAACTACTTGTAAGTTAAAATGTGTTCCACATGCATGTGTTATAAATGTCTGTGACATTTTCATCTCAAAGTTGATGAAAATGTTCTTACTACCTGTTAGTTGTACACAGACACTGTAGTTTATCCATGCTATTATCTCGAATTTAAGCAAAAATTGACTAAAATAAGCGCTAACAAAACAATAGGTTAAGAAAATGGTATTTAAAACCGTATAGGTAATAAATTATCAAGATGTTTGACACTTAAAACCCAGTGGAAACCTGAAGATTGAAACACAGAATATTAAAATTAACTGTAAAAGAGAAATGATACACTTCATTTTGGGGGGAATGACATTTACAATGTCATGTCAATTAAAAACAAAATAAATTTCCTTTGGAAGTACAAATGATATCAAACCTTAATATTGTTGGTTTGCCATGATTAAAATTATTTTCCTTTTTATCTTGCCACCAACAGAGTATTAATTAAATAACTGATTCACATATACACCCTAACCCTTTCTCCATTCCTTAGTACAATTATAGCTGTTTCAAGAAGACAGAGAACACATATTTGTTTACATCAAATGAAAAAATGTACATAAGTATTATGTACAGATTATATAAAACGTGATCCATTACTTACTCTCTCAACTATACATCACTGTTCAGAAATTAAGCAGCTGTCAAGCTTTTAATGAACAATAGGTGGAAGTCTAGCCAATTAGTTGCCTTGTGTTGTCATTATTTGATTTTAAAAAGTATTTTGTTCTACAGCCTTGTAATATTTTTTTATGGTAGTAAAAATATAACTACATATCCTGTGCCAGACATGCCAGTGGAGTTGTGATTTCATCATTCAGACATGCTCTGTCTTGTTTCTACTCCAGTCTCAGCAGCGAGAATCATGCCTGATCCATTGGAAGATAAAAAAATACTTGAAGAATGAATGAACTAATAAAGAATGAATAAATATACTGGCTATATATGTACGTACTAATGTTTTTCCAAAAATATATAGGTTAATTGGATGTTAACAAAAAGAAGATAATTTTTTTCTGCCAAATTAGTTCATCACTTTTTAAAATTTTCATTCATTTGAAAATAGTTATTGAGTGATTATTATGATCCATCTTTCTGTAAGCCATCCAGTCTGGTTATGATATAATTCCTAGTGGTGTCAGAGATTGATCCATAAATTCTTTCAGTGACCAAAGGTGGATATAAAAGCTTCAAAACTCTATGTATCTACTACAAAGGGCATATGTAGATTTTCTTTAATGTTCAAAATATAGTAATAATAGTATGGACAAAGGGTATATTTGTTGAGTGTCTTCCAATTTTTAAAAATACATTGAATCGCTTGTTGAACAGATGAAATTCTTTTGCATTAGTTACTAATCATGTATAACCGCAGATTTGTTTTGCACCCAGTCATTTATTTCTCCTAGAATGTATGCAGGTACATTTGAATTGTAATTTTGTGTTTGAATGTTTTCTGCAAATAGTCTAAATATAATGAAATGAACATCAAAACATGTCTTCTAAAGCTATTTGAAGTATGGTTCAAGACTTTTTTTTTCCAAGTATATGCATATGCATGTCTACTTTGACACTGACAACTTAAAGTAAAATTAAACATTACTTAATGGAAAATCTCTCTTGTGACCCTAGGGTAAATTTATTTATACCTGGACGCATGTATGTTTGTATATAAATATTAATGTACAGGCATATGTAGCTACATAGCTTTTAATGGGTTCATATTGAACATAGTGCTCTAAGTATTTCCATATTACAGTAGAATAATGTGAGCATATTTCAGTGTAAATACATATAAATTTATCTCCTTCTTCAAAAGGACACCTCAGTTTTTCTGAGTATATCTGTGGGAAAATCATACCAATTGCTGTAACCCCAAATCTTCAGTAGCTCAAGGAAAAAAAAACCACACTCCCCTGCTTCCCCCACCATCATCCAGCTCTTTGTGTTGCAGGCACCAAGATGGAGAGAAGAGCTGCAGCCCTTTGGGGACCCCAGACCTAGGGGCTTCCTGAGCCACAGCTGTAACTCCCTCTTTGGGGCTCTGCAGTTTCTGGCATCTGTAAGCTTCTGGTCACTACTGCAGTCCCCAACTCTAGATGCTGGTGCCTGCAACAGAAGCCACTTTTGGTACGTTTGGTCGAGCTGCAGTCTTGCACAGAGCTGGTGAAGCAGTTTCAATGAAAGCCAACATGCAGAAGAATAAACATAGATAGATTGAACCAACAGTGGGCTTTTTTGGTTTAAACTTGGGCCTGGGAGCAAATGCAAGTGATAAAGTCATTATGAAAGTGGGTTTAAATGATTGCACATTGAAAACTTAATTTTGAAATGTATAAGCTAATAAATTTGGAAATGGGCAGCCATTTGAAGATGTATACCCATCATGTATATTTTAGCATGAAGCTCTGGTTCCATGACTTCTGGAAAGCAATGGCCAGTCTCAGATTTAAGGATTAACAGGTATGTGAATTTTAAATATATTAAATTACATGTAACGCCTGGAAAATATATGAACAGTAGAGACTCAGATGTAGCTACTTAAGAATTTCTAAATATGAAGTGTTATTTGCTCTGTAGAGGAAGAGTTTAAGTAATTGACCGTCATTATCACTATTTTTTGTATCACTAGCTAAATGCAGCCATGGTGCCAAATTAAAGGACAGCAAACACACAAACCTGGAATTAAAATGACACCTTGATGCTTGATGTTAAGTTCCAACTCATATTAGAGACCGGATGACATTTTCATAGAAGTTTGCAAATTTTTCAAATTAGTGGTGCCTAAGTATAAAGTTGTTATTGTTTTCACCATTACAAATGAGTCCTTCATGTTAAAGTAACATGCCCGAGATTTTTGCTATTAATTGTTTGTTAGAGATGATGGTTGAGACATGGTACAAAAATTTCCTTCAAAAAGGTTGGTCATTTCTTTAAAAATAGGGAAATTGTATGCACTTTCTAGATGAAATTCACATACAATAAAATGCCCACATTTTTTTGTCAATGTACTTTGTAATGATTCATTGCAAATGTGTGTGTAATGAATCACACAAAAGTTGTAGAATATTTTCATTGCTTCCGAAAAATTTTCTGGGCCCTTTGAAGTACTCTGTTTTCCATGTTCCAGGCGACTAAATATTTTGTCATCTTAACATTTTTCCCTCTAGAATTCCATATCAATGCTACGGAAGTCCAAATTTGAATTCAGAATTTCAAATTCAAATTCAATTTCAAATTCCAGATATGAAATTTGAAATTAAATTTCCATATCTTTGCCAGTTATTTTTTATATCTGGAATCTATAAATCTCATAATTTAGACATTCATCTGCTGATGGAAATTTGTTTTCAATTTTTTCTTATTATAAATAAAACTTCTATGAACAGTTGCGTACACCTCTTTGTGCAGACATATATCTTGAGTACCTCAAAGCAGAATCACTGGGATATAGGGCAAGTGTATGTAAACTTAAAATGATCTTTTAAAATGTTTTTATTTTCTTTGGGACAGAGTCTTGCTCTGTCACCCAGGCTGGAGTGCAGTGGCACAATCATGGCTCACTGCAGCTTCAGTTTCCCAGGCTCAAGTGATCCTCCCATTCAGCCCCCAAGTAGTTGGAACCACAGGTACACATCACCAAGCCCAGCTAATTTTTTCATTCTTTGTAGAAACAGGGCCTCACTATGTTGCCCAGGCTGATTTGGAGCCTCTGGGCTCAAGTGATCCTCCTGCCTTGGCTTCGCAAAGTGCTGAGATTATAGGTGTGAGCCACTGCATCCCTCCTAATATTATTTTTTCCCCACAAAGAAGTAGCATTTTCCATTTCCACAATCGCATGATGAGGTATTCATTATTTCTGCCTTATGTTTCTTACCCTAGCCAACATTTGGAATTGTTAAATTTTTAAATTTTAATCATTTGTAACTGTGCAATGATATCTTATTTTTGTTTTAATTTGTGTTCCTCAAATAATATGTAATTATTTTTCTTGGAGTTTCAAACTGATAGTAAGTATTTTAGAAGATGAGATCAGCAGGTGCCAGTTCATGGTCCAGAAGTCGTGACAATCACACCAACTCCAGTCTCACTTATACTGAGGAAGTTTATCCAACTGGAGAATAGTGTACGTTTTCATGGGAGTTGGAGAATGGAAAAAATAATAATTAGGACCATTTCTATAATTTCCTTGAATATCTGAGTCGCCTAATAAATTGATCTCTTTGTTCATACAAATATGATCAAAAGGAGTACATCAAATCTTAGTTCAAAATCTGCCTTACTATGTGTGAGGTATGTAAACCCAGAAAAATAAGAATTCTAAAAATCTGAAATACTAACATTACATTCCAGAAGGATTGTTTGAGTACTACATGAGTCACATTGCAGGTGTGGGGAAAACTTTATTTTTTTTTTTCTAATTCTTAAAAGGCAGATTAGTTTTGTACAGAATACTTGAAGGGTTATTTGGGAGGAAATAACTGATTAACAGTTTTGATAAATAGTGCCTGTGGTACTTTTAGCAGAATTCTCCTAACAATTCCAGAATGGGATGCTAAGAAACACGATAGGCCAGGTGCGGTGGCTCACGCCTGTGATCTCATCACTTTGTGAAGCCAAAGTGGGCCTATCACGAGGTCAGGGGTTCGAGACCAGCCTGACCAATATGGTGAAAGCCCGTCTCTACTAAAATTACAGCTGCGCGCCTCTTGTCACAGCTACTTGGGAGGCTGAGGCAGAAGAATTGCTTGAACCTGGGAGGTGAAGGTTGCAGTGAGCCGAGATCATGCCACTGCATTCCTGCTGGGGCAACAGAGTGAGACTCTGTCTCAAAAACAAACAAACAGAAACACGGACACTGCCTGAGCACCCTCATTCTGCGTTTGAAGAAATACAGATACAATGGCAGAAACCATTTTCTTGGAATTACAGTAAAGAATCTGTAAGTGTTGGTGAGCATAACTTTATTATTTGACTACATGAATTATGAAATGCATGTAAATTGATGTTTTAGAGAGACAAATCAATACACAGTACAATTGGGAGTACTTCTTACTATATTCCCTCGTCTTTAGTGTCTGATAGTTTCAGATATCCTTCCTTGTGAGTTCATGGCATATAGTGTTGCTCTGTGATTTCCTGGCTTCTGTGGATTAGAACCATTTATGACATACATATTTCTCCATAGTGGCTTCTTCTTATATGTTGACAAGAAGCTCTTCTGGGACCTTCAGCTTTTCTTCTGTTACTACCTGTTGAGGTGAGAGCAAAAAGGATGGAGACAGCAAAAGAGCCACGAAGTGGTCCATTCTCTTTTCCATCTCTGACCCAAGGGTAAGTACCAACCATAACAGAGCTTATATCTGGCTATATATTTAAGGTTACTTTCCTAAAGACTCAAGTCTTTAGGATGACGTTGGAACCCAGATAAATTTTGAACAAGATAAAGATTATATCTTGGAGCATTTGGGGCTCAGCTATAACCTATTTCTTCTGAAATGATTTGATTATCCTCCCTCCAGGTGGAGGCAGCTTCACCTCCATTCCTCTCAGATATATGTGCATTTTGGGAAGACTCTTCTTCCATGACAAAGTGCAGGGTGGAGTCGAATCCTGGCTTATCCACTCTAATGGTGGTGTTCCCCAGTGTCCTCTTTTCTGTTCTACCACTTACACACTCTGACAGTGGCACCCTGTCAGCCCGTCCCGTAACACTGTAAACTGTTATTGGTACATTTTCCAAAGTTTAAGTTTACTTAGAATGTATATGATTTTTCTAACCTGGTTTCATTCCTTTTCATCAATCTGTATTCATTATTACATCAAGATGAATACACGTTCTTCCTGTAGTTTTCCAGTTCTTGGTTTCTGAACTTGGGATCAACTGTTTAAAAATTAATACAGTGACAGTGATAATCTGGCCTAATGCGATATTCAAAGGCAAATTGTGCATTTTCAAAATGACAGATTTTGTAGCCTTTACCACAGTTGTAATGTTTTAACAATTTAAACCCAATTTCCGTTAGTACCCTGATTTCTCCAAATATTTAGCAAGGAGAGTTTTTATAAGAAAGAGTCTAGGCCATGGAAAATTAACTTGCCTATTTCTCATCTCACACTTGTGAGAAAAGTGAGGCTGAGGAAGTCTGAATTATTTGCCAAAGGTCACAAGAGTGGTAGAGCTGGAATTCGAAACTAGGTCACTCTCGCTCTAGAACCATATTGCCTTATAAAATGTGTCACTGAATGAAACTTCCCTTAGCACGTAAAACTGTGTGCAGCAAAAATTCTGCAAGCTCCAGGGTCAAGTGCAATGATAGGTTTTCTTTGTCTCCAGATAAGTTGACTCCACCAAATCATATTTAATTCAATTTTTATTTATTGATCTATCGAGTTCAGGTATTAAGTGCTAGACATAAAAATGGCCAGAGGAAAAAAAAAGAATTTTGGAATGAGAGCAGAATGGATTATTTTCTTCTTTCTTTCCTCTGGTTCAAATAGCATATCTCCTGCACATGACAGTTTTCCTGTAACCTGGTGTAGTACTTTGAACATGTAGTAAAGCAGAAGTGACAGCACTGTAACTCATGAACTCCACTGAGATTGCTATGGTGTGACAAACCTGTCTTGGCTGTCTCTATGTAAATTAGGAATTCCTAAAGCTTTCAATAGGAAAGTTACTATGAACTGCTTCATTTCAAACTGAAAGCGTTGAAATGCTAATTAGGAAGCATTTTTTTTTTCCTTTAAAGTAACTTTAAATGACTTTTTGGGAAAGTAAGCACATTTACTCTACTTTTATGGCACAGATTTCTCCATAGGAGAGGAGAATGGCCATTTTTGTGAACTACTGTTGGATATGACATACATATTTTGGAAGTCTCAATGTTTGGATTTGACAGATAAAATGTTTATATTGATTGTATTGTATTGAAAGCCATTTTATGCAAATTAATTTAACACAGAATTTAATGATTTTGGATGCTAGGAGTGAGGGGAAAGAAACAACCTTTAAAGTTAACACTGTAATTTCCATCTTACTTCTGATTATCTCAGCCTCCACCAGAATAGAAAATGCTTATTCTCTTGGAGAGAGAAATAAACTTAATCTTTACATGGGCACACTCAAAATTGTTACTAAGCTTTTACATATTTTTTATTGTTGTTGTATTTTTTCACAATGTCCTATATGTTTTCTTTTTATTTGTGAAGTGAGGTGTGAGTGTGTGTGCCTGTGTGTGTATACACACATCCATGGGGGGAGCAAATTCTAAATAAGCTCAAGTAGAATTTAATTTTTCTAATTACAGAGTGCTCACAGAGCACCAAGCAATTGCCCAATTTTGCATGTAGCAGAAGCACAGCTGCCTTTTCTCTAACCTACATCTCCTCCTCTATTCCTGACCTTGTAAATGGCATGGATAATTAATCAATGGCATACACTGATGACATAGGTGTCATTCTAAACTCTGTTTTCTATTATACCTCCTCCATTTCCTTCTGTGTGGTTGATCAACCAAAGACCCATCTATTCTTTTTAATAATAATGTCTTCATGTTATCAAATATTCTAATTTCCATTGATATTCTGTGATATTGCATATATTTTATATATCTTTATAAAGGATTTCCCTTTTGGTGTCTGGATATCTTTGTGTTTATGGAAAGTAAATAAAAATATATGATGCATAATAAATACTTTATAATTTAATACATTTCAATTCTAAACATATCTACAAATGCATCAAGGTAATACCATTTTTTTGATATACACATGACTAAACATAGACACTATCATATGTTAAGCCCTAGAAAATAGTGATAAGGGTTGTTTCTGGGTGACACGGACAGAGGAATTGTGAGAAAATAGTGTTAAGGAAAAATCAGTTAAATGTAAATACATAGGTATGTATGTATGTGTGTGTATATGTATGTATTCTAGAAATAATTATTATATTGATATTACATTGCTAAATATAGGAATCAAATGCACTATTTTCTTTAAACTGAAATGTAATACAAAAAGTAATCCAATCATAATAGGGAAAGAAAACACATATTTCAGAGTAAGTTTAAGAAGTTTTCATTTAGACTTGCATTTATAAAAGTACACCACTCTTTGAGAAGAGATGGAGGCTCTTTATACAGAGATAAATCATCTGATCAACTACAGCTTTATGTGATTTGTTTTGCTTACTTGCTTGGCATTGCTGCTTTCTTTATATACTTTGTTTTAACCTTACATCTGGGTAAAAATTGGAACCTGAAATTTCCGACAATATGCTTCTGCTTCCACTGATTTGAGATTAGAGAAGATTCCCCAAAAAACTATGTCTGTAAAGAACTTCCAACTTAATTACTGTCTGATTTATTTTTACTTCATTCCTACATAAATGAAGCATAAAGTAATTATGATGACATTTTGTGAAGAAAAAAATCAATTCGTATATGATTACATCTAGTAACTATTACTTAGTACTAAATTTTTTGTCATTATAAAATATCTTTTGAATCGGTTATTATTATATTTTCACTATCCAGCAGTATGTGTGATCCAGGAAAGAATTACTTTTTCCTCATCATGGTTAACATTTAGTTAGCACACTTAGGATGCACTCTGTGCAAAATACTTTACGTATTGGAATTAACCTCCCCAATAATGCTATGAGGTAGGGACTAGTATTGTTTTTTTTAACCATTTTTCATCAACTTTTAGTTTAAAAACCAGGGTACATATTCAGGAAGTGCAGATTTATTACATGGGTAAACATGTACCATGGTGGTTCACTGCACAGATCAACCCATTAGCTAGATATTAATCCCAGCATCCGTTATCCTAATGCTTTCCTTTCTCCCAACACCCCTCCCTAACATGCCCCAGTGTGTGTTGTTTCCTACCATGTGTCCATGTGTTCTCATTGTTCAGCTCCCATTTGTAAGTGAAAACATGTGGTGTTTGGTTTCCTGCATTGGTTTGCTGAGGATGATGACTTCCAGCTCCATCCATGTCCCTGCAAAGGACATGATCTCATTCCTTTTTATGGATGAATAGTATTTCATGGTATATATGTACCACATTTTTTTTATGTGGTTTATCATTGATGGGCATTTGGGTTGATTCCGTGTCTCTGCTGTTGTGAATACTGCTACAGTGAACATATGCGTGCATGTGTCTTTATAATAGAATGATTTCTATTCCTTTGGGTATATACCCATTATGGGATTGCTGGATCAAATGGTATTTCTGCCTCTAGGCCTCTGTGGAATTGCTGCACTGTTTTCTACAAGGGTTGAATGAATTTACACTCCCACCAACAGTGCCTAAGCATTGCTTTTTCTCTTAACCTCACCAGCACCTGTCGTTTGTTGAGTTTTTAACAATCACCATTCTGACTGGCGTGAGATGGTATATCACTGTGGTTTTGATCTGAATTTCTCTAATGATCGGTGATGTTAATTTTTTTTTCATGTGTTTCTTGGCTACATGAACCTCTTTCTTTGAGAAGTGTCTGTTCATGTCCTCTGCCCACTTTTTAATAAGGTTGTTTGTTTTTTTCTTGTAAATTTGTTTAAGTTCCTTGTAGGCTCTGGATATTAGGCTTTTGTCAGATGGATAGATTGCAAAAATTTTCTCCCATTCTGTAGATTGTCTGTTCACTCTGATGATAGTTTATTTTGCTGTGTAGTTCTTTAGTTTAA